TTTTTTTTTTTTTTTTTTAGCACTTCTACCCCAGGCCAGCCTCATGACTGTGGTCCTCTTACTTCTGCCTCCTCATTAAGTGGGATTACAAGTGTGCACTACCACGTATGGTCCCTTACCAATGTGTTTTTGAGGTACAGGTTTTATAAATTTTGACGAAAAGTTTCCTTTACTCAGAGAAACCAGGAAAAAGCTGACACTGTAATTAACCACATCAATAGTGTAAGTTTTAATGACCTGAATCCAGAAACAACATGAAGGATGATACTGAGGGGCAGGTCTGAGAGAAGCTAACTCTTTCAAATTTAAGTCGTATTATGTGACTCAAGACTGCTCCTACACTTGGCATAAAAACAATGGTTTGATTTGAAAGAAAACAAATCATAAGAATAATGTAAGTGAAGAACTGCATCCGTTAAGAGTTTGTTTAAACACTTTCAGTGAAAGTTCTATCATGGCTATGTACATTCCTCGAACATAAAATGATATTAAATGTCTATTTAATTTGGAGCATTTCAATGACAGCTGAAAAAACATTAAGCAAATTACGAAAATTATTTTGAGAATTTTAGGAGTTAATTACACTTATTTAACACAGTCAAGCAAGACAGCTTGACTAAAACATTCATTTTTATACAAAAAATAAATGCCTGTTTTAAATCCACCACCTTCCAACAACATAATCAATGGTGTATAGCTACAACAGAATTAATGAAATAGAAGGAGGTGATTTTAAGAGTCAAGAAAGTTTGAGGGCATGATTTCTACTCTCCATTAATGACGGATTAAAGCTGCACTAACAGAAAAGTGAGAGATATCAAGGGAAGGCATTGGGTTCTGTTCTCTTTCTCATCAGATAATAGCTGTAATAAGGTGGTCAGCTGAGCAAAAAGGAGACTAAGGAAACAGAGATTATACCATTATCAGGGACATTACCTGGAAAGATGTAGGAGTCTTTTCTGTAACATTTTGGGGACCAAGAAAGACAACTACTTGGAGAAAATTCAGCTGTACCTGTAGTTTAAACTATTCAGGAACCTGAGATAGGAGGATCACATTAATCTAGCAGTGAAGAGGCCAACCTGGACAACAAAGGGACACCCTACCTCAAAAGTAAAAAAGAAAGAAAAAGGGTGCAGGGAGACCTCAAAAAAGATTTCTAAGGACATTTCTATTCCAATTCAATTCTTCTGCTCATTATACAGGAAAGTTCTCTCACCCCAGGCCTAAAAAAATTTTACCTTTCCTCCTGTTGTGACTGCTTCTTCATCCTGCTCATCTGCAAAATCAAAAGAAGCTTTTAGCTATGAAACCTCATATTAGACAGACAAAAGTAATGAAATAAATTATTAAAGCAAAATCATCCTAAATAATTCAGTTAATTATAAATTTACTCAGAGACACAAAGGCAACAGAAACCAAAAACATGGGTAATGTAAAATTTCCAACAAATGGGGAGTTTATAATTATTACTTGAGATACTATCATAGTGATATTACTAAATTTCACATAAGGGATTTGATTAAAACTCTTGTCTCCTGAGGATGTCAACAAAGTAACAGTATTCTGGATACCAGAGGAAGTGAATAAAGAATGAGCCAGGAGCCAGTTCTGCCTATAATCCTAGCTACTCAGGAAGCAGAGATCAGGAACACTGAGGTTTGAAGCCAGCCCAGGCTCGAAAAAGCCATCATAAAAAAGGGCTAGTGAAATGCCTCAAGGTGTAGGCCCTGAGTTCAAGCTCCAGTACTGCCAAAAACCACACCAAAACAAAAGAAAGAGTAAAGAAGAAAAGGAAATAATGTCAAATAAAGTAAAAAACCCAAGCAAAATTTAATGTAAGCAGTTCATTCCCACAGTGAAAAGTAAAAGTGCCAATGTGCAAAGGAGATGTGACGTTACAGCACAAATAGCTATATTATTAAGTGACCATAACACTTACTTTTCTTCTTAGAAACATGACCCCTGTCACTAAGGCATTATAAAGTTACAAGAACATGGGGAAGTCATTCTCTTATTCACTTACTCTCTCAGCAAATATTCCCAAGAAATCTGGTATTTGACAATAAAATTTAAAGCTGGTTAGATCAGAGATCAGGAATCTTAGCCCACTGCCTCCTATCATGGAATGTGGAAATCTATTGGAACAGTCAACAGTTAACTTATGAGGGTGGTATCCTGTGGCTAAAGTATTTATACAAAGAATGCAGTCAAACAACAAACACTTGCTTCCCTTCTAGGACTCTAGAATTTTGGTATGCACTACATACAGAGTACCTACATGTACAGTCCTGCAGTAAAACTCTGAGTTTAACTACTTAACAGGTTTCCCAATGCAGAAACACTGTATGTGTGTGCTGGGGTAGGAGCACACTGTGAATCCTTAAGTGAGGGGGAAGTATGAAGAAGCCTGCACCCAGACTCCACTTGTATTTACTCTTTCTATGAACCTACTATGCATGTTAGCCACAAGCCAAATTATTTGCCAAATTCCATTAGACCTTCTAGAGAGTCTGAAAACCTTGGGGTGGTCTTGGGGACCCTCAACAAATCTGTGAGTGAACTTTTTTTACATTTTTAAATGGCTGACCAGAAAATCAAGAATATTTTGTGATACCCAAGATGTGGCCCAAGTGGTAGAGTGCCTGCCTAGCAAGCCCAAAGCCCTAAGATCAAACTACAGTTTCATTAAGTCAAAGTTTTATTGGAATATGGAATAAGGATATATATGTATATATCCTATGTGTATGTATACACACACATACACATAATATACATGCATATATGTATGTACTTTTCAGCTAAAATGTCAATGTTGGATAGTTGTGTCAGAGACCATGCAGCACAGAATGTCTGAAGTATGTACTGTGATGATTTTTAGAAGAAAAGTTTGGTAATCTCTATTTTAGAGAATATAAAAAGATGAGCAATATTTTAACAGGCAGTAAAAGACTAGCACTCAATCATTTAACAAAATTTTATAGAGAACTTACAATGTTGTCAGCCATTGTCCAAATGCTAAGGACACTGATGAAGTAGAAAAGGCACCTACCTTTATGAAACTGACATCCATGGGATGTAACAAAATGTTTCAGAGTCTGAAACATGCTAAGCATACAATAAAAACAACAAAAAAAATGTTGGATATGAGAAAGACATGAGAAACATTCCAGATAAGGATTGCATCCAGGGGAATGGGCTTGGAGACTTCATGTAACTGAAATATGTCCACTGTGGTCATGAATAGAGGCTGATAGAAAGGAGGACTTTTCACAACAGAGTACAATACTACAAAGCACAGGCAGTAAACACACATCACAACCCAAAAACTGCTTGTGCCCCTTAATAGCAGAGTACATGGAAAGAGTTTCTGAACCTCTCTAAACTCTATTTTCTATCAATAAAATAGGTTTTTTTCCATCAATAAAATAGCAGTAAGTAGTTTAGTAGTGAAGTGTTAACATATGTAGACTGATCCTGGCAAGTATTGAAGAGCACAGAAATGGGCAAATGCTTGATGCTGAAGCAACAAATATCTGCTAACAGTATTATGGGATTCAAGGTATAGAAAAATGTGGTACCAATTATCAACAGTAGCCACCCAGTTCTGAAAAGGGACAATGTTTTTTCCTAGCAAGTGACTAACAAAGGAATCTAGGTAAGGCTGTCAAAAACAAATGTTTGATTCACTGGGCACTGGATAATGGTTTCTTACCAGATGCTATTAATATAACAAAAAATATAATTTAAGTATGGCTCAGAGGAAGGGTGCTTACTTAGCATGTCTGAGGCTCTGTGTTGGATTCCAAATCCACAAAAAAAAGTTCACTGTATGACAAGTGCCTATCCTTCAGGTAGTTTTGGCACCTGACAAAAATCAACTTTTGATAATACAAAAGTAGGGGAGACATCCTTCTTACTGTTCCTAAATGGTAACATTTAATGAATGTTCCTGTCTCCTCCTGATATACATGGGAAAATATGCTCCCAACCGATTCCCTAGATTTTCAGCTACCTCAAGGGATGAAAGGAAGGCATCAGCATATTTAGGAAGGTGACAGAAGGCAGAATATAGATCAGCTAAAACAGTATACAGCTGTAAAAACAGTAATTTACAGTTGACAGATCACACTGCCCTTGGCAGAAATTAAAGGCCGGGGACAAGAATTTCAAAATCTGAAGACCTTAACTCTCCAGTTATAACAATACCATTTTCAGCCACATCACTCCTAAGCTGCACCTTAGAAACTGTTCAAAAAACACGAAGGGAATCTCTCTCTTTTTCTTTTTTGGTGGGATGGGAGTTTGAACTCAGAGCTTCACACTTGCAAAGTGGGTGATCTCTACTTGAGCCACACCTCTAGTCAATTTTGCTCTGGTTATTTTGGAGATGTGAACTATTTGCCCAGGCTGACCTTGAACTGCAATCCTCCTGATCACAGCCTCCAAAATAGCTAGGATAACAGGAGTGAGCCTCTGGTGCCCGGCACATCTCTTAAAACTAGTACCAAAAACTTTCTTCCAGTTGAAACATCCACCTTAAAACTGGCTTCTACCATTTGAGTCTGTCATTAAAGTCTGCTATAAGCCTACTACTCCAAATGATTGCCTTACCTCATTTATAAGGAAAATTTTCCATTTTTTAAAAACTATGCACTATTTCATTTTCAAGAAATTTACTTAAAAAACATAAACTACCATTTTGGTTAGCAAATTTTCCTGGTGAAGAGTATGAAGTCTTCCTAATCTTTCATACTGTCAATTTTACTGGGAATATAAAAGACTGCTTCTAATTAGTTTTTTGCTTTCTTGGCCTCTTAGCTAAGTATCAGCTTATTAGAGGCAACATAAATTGTGGAGGATGTAAACTATCAACAGTTATTCAAGATTTATATTCTGTTAATAATTTTAAAACAATTATGCTAAAAGCATTTTTTACAGTAATTTTTCTTTTTCATTTTGTTCACCTAATACCTCTCCTTTATATTAACTGTTATGATGAAAATTTTCTGAGGGATAGGTATGGTGGAACACATCTTCAGTTTCAGTTATGGAGGAGGCAGAGATGGAAGGATCAAAGTTTGAGGCTAGTATGGGGGGAGAGGACACCTCTCTCTTAAGGAAAAAAAAAAAAAAAGCTAGCTGGCACACATCTATAATTCCAACAGTGCAAGAGGCAGAGGTAGAAAAATCATAGTCCATGGTCAGCTTGAACAAAAACTTGAGGTGCGATCTGCAAAATAACTAATGCAAAAAGAATTAGGGACTCAGCTCATTTGGTAGAGCAACTGCCTAACAAGAACCGAGTTTAAACCTCAATAATGTCCTACCTCCCCCCGCCACCCACAAAAAAATGATTTTGTTTCTGCTTTTAACATAAAAAGAGATCCATCCACTGATAGGCAATGTCAGGCCAAAAGTCAAGAAATAAAGGATGCCTTTAATAAAAATGAAATTGAAAAACTCTCCCGAACACTCATTCATATCTGCCACCAACAATCAAAAACAATTTCGTCAGTAGAAAATAAAAGAATTTTCATTTTAAACATGGGAAGATCTTGAAAATCTTTCTTAGGTCTAATCTTTTATAAAGTCAAAAATTTAGTGTACTGAATATACTGTATTTTCCTTTGATTTTTACAACTGAAGAGACATATTTCAGATTATTATACTGCCTATTAACTCTCAGGAAGAAAGATGTTTAAAACTGTTCCTGTATTTTAAAAAGTGGAACAAAACACTGCTTTCCTCTTTTCTACCTTCCTGATAAAACAAACAAACAAAAAATCACCTAAGAATTACACTTTACTTGTGAAAATTTACTATATGACTTGAAAATAAAGTTGGCCTGCTATCCCAGTGTTCAGCTTAGGAAAAACAATGTCTATGGTCAACATGTACAGACTTTTTAATTGTAATGATTCCTTAATCAGTACAATATTACAGCTATTTACGTGGCATTACATTGTATTAGATATTACATTGCAGATTTTGGTATCCATGTGGGGTCCAGGAATCTACTCCCATGAATATAAGGAGACAACAGGACTGCAAAAGGATGGAGTAATTCTCATTTTGTATTTTGCTTAGGACCTTTACTTTGGCTTACCAAGTATGAACAGTCAAAAGATTTCTGTTCTAGAGATGCAAAATCAATTTGTACGTAAGTTATACAAGTTCCAAGGAGACTAGAAAAGGTATTTCAATTAGAATTGTTTCTTTAAATCTCAGATATTCAGGTTCAAGTAAAACATCACCACTTTGCTAGTTTGTAGAAAAACACTATACCCTGAAATGAGGTGATCACTGAGAATTGAAACAATAGGAAATAATCTTTGTGAACATGGAACAAACCAAGTTATTATAGTGCTGAAGGCAGCCAGTGAATATCTAGTGGTGAAAAACACAACAACAGAAAGCAACCAATTTTATTAAAGAAACGACAGTGTGAGGAGGGGATATATTCAAAAGACAACATACAACTGCATTTGTTGTGTTTACCTAAATCTGCTACAGTTCCTCCTTTAACAGGTGTATTTTCACTGTCTTTCTTCGGGTTTACTAGAAGAAAAAGAGAACAGCATAATCGTTGGTGTTATAAGGAAAAATTCTCCTGGTTTTAACATAATAGGTCATGATTAAGATATACATGTACCTCTTTGCAATTCAAATAAAATTGACCACTCACCTTTATATAAAACCCACAAGCTCACTATAAAACATTAACACTCAACAGACTACATTCTGGGATTACCAAAGTAGCAATACATCTTATTAGAAATAAATAAAACAGAAATTCTATATTCTCTTATAATTTCATGTCCACAGAATGAAAAAAAAAAAAAACCCAAAAAACTATTAACTTTGATGACTTTCTACCTCCTAGATTTTAAAGTACCAGGTTAGCCCCTAATAAAATATTACTCTATAAAGCAGAGTGACTAGTATGAGAACTATAAAATTTACCATTTGGCATATGTGGTGCCTTATTTATGTGCTACCACCACCATAAAGGTGGATAATGATTAATAAATGCCTATGATGTCTTTTCCTTTTGGACTCTGTTGAAATTTACTGAAAATCTCATCATAAACTCACAGAGAGCACAAACATGTGATGGTCAATTATTTTTTAATTATGAATATTTAAAGCACACTTTGAGCTTCAATACACTGAAGAGACATTAGGCCAGCAGTTACATCACTAATAAATAATTCAGGTATACCACACTTAACCTATAAAATTCAATACTGGAGGATTTTAAATCTGAATTCACATAAACTAATGCCTGGAGAGATAAACAGTTTTAAATTGTACATAAATATGTATTCCCATTTTCCATATTAATTCTGCTAGGACTAAAATTCACTCATTTTTAAGCACTAGTAAATTTAGGTAACTATTTGATGACAGTTATGTTTTCTCAATAAACAAATAGCCAATTACTATGACTAAGTTGGAAAGAGGGAAATTTTTAAAAGTTGAACTTAAGATTGACAACAACAGGCCCAGAGCAGGAAATTAATCACCTCATGATGAAATCACGTCTAGCACTCATTCTCTCACACACACAAAAATACAAACCATTTTTGGGAAGTACCACTTCCTCTATATTGGGTACAGGTGTTGGGTCTTCCATGTCCTTGGTAAGATCTTCTTGCTCATCTTCTTCTTTTTGACTTCTGCGCTTCCCATAAAGACTAGCTTGGCTGAAACACACAAGGTATATAAAACATAAACAAGGTACTTATAACAAACAATTTCTGAGATTCTTACCTAATTATCATTAAGACTTTATACTCAAAATCACTTTTCTTTTTCTTTTTGGTACTGGAGTTTGACTCTACTGCTTGAGCCATTTTGCTAGCCCCAGAATCACTTTTAAAGACAATTTGTAAATTAAACAAAATAGACACTTTATTCAAATCACATTCTAGGCAGGCAAAAAATAAAAATAAAGTTATTGGGTGTAAGAAATACGCAAAGAAATCCTACTACTCAAATTGTGGACAGTATCCTAAAGGGAACTTAAATTAGTGTAGTAAAAGAACATCTGCTAAGCAAATATTGCATCTTTTCTATGAACAATCACTTATATGAGAAATTTTTCTCAAAGATTTGGGCAGTTCTTATTTTCCTAGCTATTTGTATGATCCAAATATGAGGAACCTCAAAGTAGAATAGTGTAGTATACTTTTTTAAAAAAAATTGCTGTTCTTACTCTGACAATGTAGTAAGCCATTATTTTTAAGCTAATACATGCCAGAGGGTTCAAACAAAAATGAGATTGATTTAATTTCATAAGAAATTAGAGGGATAGAGGGCAGAAATCACTACCTAGCTCACATAATGGGATACATACCAATGCAGAGAAATAAAGTAAAAAAGTATTATATTTCAATACTGAAAAATAGACAGAAATAAATAATGGGGCCACGAAAACATACCAGAGGAAAAGAGTAAAGATTGAAAATGACAGATAAGCTGACCTTGAGAGTGTGTAGTAATTTGCTAAGAATTCAGTTACATTTCAGGATAGAGTAAAGTCTAAAGGCATGAGCAAAAAATTTAAAACTAAAATAACTTGCGTGGGAATATAACAGTAATCTACAGTACATCGTGAAGTGAGAATGGAAATGAAGAAAGAGGTGACAGAGACAGCATGGTGGGCCAGCCTGAGTTTCACACTGCAGAGAGAATGCTCAAAACCCCTTGAGGGGCAACATATTGGTATATGTTAGAATGAGGTATGTAAGGTAAAACTTTTTTCAAATTGAAAATCAGAATTATAAAAAAACTTATAAACCTAAAACTGGAAGGGAAATTAAAAAAAAAAAAAGTTTAAGGGACCAGGTGCTGGTGGCTCATGCCTATAATCCTAGCTACTCAGAGATGAGGAAGATCTCAGTTCAAAGCCAACCTGGGCAAGATACAGTTTGTGGGACTGTATCTTGAAAAAACTCATCACACAAAAGGGCTGATGGAGTGACTCAAGGAGTAGGCCCTGAGTCCAAACCCAAGTACTGCAAAAAGTTAAAAATAAAAAAACTTAAGGGAAGAAAAAGCAGAGAAGATGAATAAATTACACATCAGGAAAAGATTTTAACATGTTTTCATTAGCTACAGGATTGCAATGAAAACAAGATTTTTTTCAGTGCTGGGGACCGAACCCATACTAAGCACATGGTCTACCACTGAGTTATGCTCCCAGCCCTCCTTGAAAATAAAGCAAAGTGTATTCAATTAAAGTACACGCACACACACAATAAATTCAATTAGCAGGCTTTATCCTCAGGATTGAGGGCAAAAGCTACATTTTGGTTCAACAACCACAGGTATGCTGCCACTGCATTTTGGCTGATGAGGGGGGTTAGCAGCGCAACTCATTTTAGACGCTAAAACACTGGGAAAATGAACAGATCTCAGATATGCCTGAGATTTCTCACCAGCAAGATTCAGATTAGAAATTTAAAAAGGTTACACCCTGAGAAAAAAATCTGTTTTTACTAAAGATTTTAATTTTTATGTTGCAGCACATGTGATTTTCAAAAATAAAAAAATTTGGCTGGTGGAGTGGCTCAACTGGTAGAGCACCTGCCTAGCAAGTGTGAGGCCATGAGTGCTGCCCATTACCCCAGACGCCTATGGTTCACATCTGTAACCCTAGCTATTTGGGAGTCTGAGATCAGGAGGATCCAGATTTGAGGCCAACCGAGGCAAATAATTCAAAAGACCCCATCTCCAAACTGACCTGAGCAAAAATGGACTAGAGGTGTGGCTCATGTAATAAAAAGACTGGTTTGCATGCAAGAAGCTCTAAATTCAAACCCAAGTCCCACCCCCCCCACCAAAAAAATCATTTTATGATTGTGACTGGATCTTTATCATTACATATTAAACTAAGAGACTTTTAAACTTCTATAAAGGCTTCTATGCATGATGAAGAATAGAATACCTAAATCTAATAATTTAGGTAGAACTGCTGGAAAGAAAACTCTGTGTAAGGAAACTGCAAGACAGAAGATGCAAAGTACATTTTTATACGCTCCTCAATGAAAAATTTAACAAATTTACTATTACCAGAAATACATTTCTCAATACATATTAATATACAGAAAAATAATCAATTTTTGGAAAACTGTCATTTTTTTTCATTAATACAAACCCATAAACTCTAAGAAACTACATAAAAGATATTTTAATCTAGGCAAACCTGAAATTATCAAGCATCTGTTTACAACAATAAATTACCACTTATTAAATTATGCATTTCAGACATTGTGCAAAAACTTTAAAAGCTCATTGAATTCCTACAATGTATTTGATAGAAACCACTTGTTAAGTAGAAACATACTGCTCTGAACAAGGCCCTATGCTGCTATGCTTTGCAGAACATAAAACGTTCATCTCTTTCATAAGTTGATCACAAATGAGACAAGTGGTCAAATCAGAAATGCACTATGGTGGATATAAATTTCTTCAACTCCTTACCAGCTATATTTCTCAATACACACTTACATACAAAAAACAGGCTGCATTCAATATGCATTTGTAGAAATATAATAAGCTTCCCTTAAGACAAGCTATCAAAGAAAAATGCTTCCAAACAGGTCAATCTATGAGTTACTTTCACTAAAACTTGCTTCTAATGTCACTGTAAAAACCCAGAAAGTCCCTTGGAGTTTGTTTTACTACATTCTCAAACATGTTGCTGTTCATACCCTTTCTTTCCACTCTTCTTCCGTGACTCTGTGGTTGTGGGAGGGGGAGGAGAAGGGGAATGTTTCCTCTTTCGAGCATTAGCTGATGCTTTCCTATCTCTTCTCTCTGGACTTCTAACTGGCTAGGAAGAAGTAAATGGAAATAAATATTAGCCAACTTTGCTTCTCCTCAGGTTCCATAAACAAAGGTAGCACTAAACCCACTATTACAGAGCAAATGAATGGAGTAACATTAAGCATCCAAGTCCTCTAGGAATGAGGAAACTTTCCTGAACTTGTAGTTGATGCATCATCAATGTAACACTCAACACAATCCCAGATACTCAAACCAGAGAAGTGCTCAAATCCTGCAAAAGTAGAAACTGTTAGTGCTCACATTTTGTGCATCTAGATGGGAAAAGCATTTTCAGTAACTACTAGAAAAGTATAAAACACTGCATTAACTAATGAAATAAAGACAACCCAAATGACCCTGTGAAAATATACTGTTACAGAAACTGCTTTGTTCAAGGGATATTGGCTCAGTGGTAGAGGGCTTCCACAGTATGTGGAAGGATCTGGGTTCTACTCCCAGAACAATCAAACAAAGGAAAAAGAAAAGCAAGCATTAAAGGCAAACAATATATAAGGATTTATGCCAAGGGAAATTAAAAGTGGAAAAAAAAAAATCCTAAGACTCAAATTCAAAAAAAAGAGGGACAAACTAAAAACAAAGATTATGACAAAGACCCAAATTTAAAATATTTTCTTACAAATAATGTACAAAGTATGACAAAGAAGTTTTAGCAGTAAAGGCACAGGAATGAAAACATAAATAAATAAAATATCTACATTTTCTATGTTAATGGTTTAAAAAAATGTATGCCTCAGTGGCATACCCCTATAGGGAGGCTGAGACAGGAGGATTTCAAGTTCAAAGCCACCACTGACTACACAACCAGACCCTTTATCAAAATAAATGTGTTTTGGCTGGTAGAGTGGCTCAAGTGGTAGAGCGCCTGCCTAGCAAGCGTGAAGCCCTTAGTTCAAATCCCAGTACAGCCAAAAAAAAAAATAATAAATTAAAAAATAGATAAATAAAATAAATGTGTTTGTCAGCACACGTGCCCTACAAAAAATATAAAATGAAAAGCAAACAATTTACGTGTCCCCAGTGAAAATGACTTCAGAATCATAGGTGTCTTCATTAGGCTGTCAGAAACACAACAGCAACACGAAGCTTTCTTCTTGGTTTCACCTGTTCTTCAAATGATACACCTACCTCACAATCTCTGACTTATAAGGAATTATGGGTAAATATTTAAATATTTAGATGTCTTAGACTATTAAAGACTATTTAATGCCAAGCCCCCCACCCTTAAAAAGGACTGAACTTTAACTCGAGACCTTTAAGCTGTATATACATTAACAAAGTTATTAAGATACTGAACAAAAAGTGAGTTTTCCCAAAGAAAACCATCAACTAAACTAAATTCTGCTGTGATATTTGGAATACAAAATTAAAAATTCAGATGTAGTGGACAAAATCAGCAGTACCACTGCCATACTCCATGGGCTACTTTAAATCTTAATGACTGCCTTGAGATTTTCACTTTTCTTTCTGAGGGGGGCATGCAAGGCTCTAAGATGGTTGTTACAGCCTCTTAGTATCTTTTACATGTCAATAATGCTTGATACACCTTGTTGTGTATGTGATAGTTTACCAATGAAAACGTGAAGACCTTTAGGGGCAAGGAAGAAAAAACACCTAGTGGTAAGAAATAGTGCCAAATGAAATACCTCTTCATTCCTTGTTGAAATTCGCTGACGAAAGCTAACTGGTTTCCTGTTCTCATCTACTTCATAATCCTCCTCATTCATCCACTCATTGAATGTATCAGTGTCCAAAATCCATTTCACATGAACCTAAAGCCCCATCAAAGAATGAATATCAACATAAGTAATAAAATCAGTCAGGTGCTTCTGAAGTATTCAGAAGGATAGAAACTAATTATTTTCAAAGATCCAATTATATAAAACAGATTAAGAACATACTACTAATAATGACATCTGAACTACAACTTAACATTTTCTAATTTTTATCCCATTGTATTTTACTAGGTAAAAAGGATTTAAAAAAGCATCGCTGATTTAGATTAGACTAACATTTTGCTAGCTAAGGCCCTCAAATTCAGCGATCATGTCATCATGTTTCTGACAATCACTGACTTAAAAAAAAAAACAAAACAAACAAAAATACACAGTGGCTTACAACTGTAATCCTCGCTGCTTGGGAGGCTGAGATCTGGAGAATCATGGTTGATAGCCAGCCCAGGAAAATAGTTCAACAGACTCCCATCTCCAAATTAACCAAAGCAAAAATGGGACTGGAGAAGTAGAGGACTTTTTTTTTTTTGAAGAGTGAAGCTCTGAGCTCAAACAATCTCACCAAAAAAACCAAACCAAAACAAAAACAAACTTCAATACCACAGAGGTCAAAACTACCATTGCCTTAAGCATAAAGGATGTCTGTAGCTTTAGGCAATCAAGAACACTCCAGCAGGCAAACCAAAAACCCCAGCACTAAGGAGGCTGAGGCAGGAGGATCACAAGTTCCAGACCAGACAGGCCCATATATACAGGCTCTGTCTCAAAACATGAAAACAAAGAAACACAACTACAAAAAGATCTCTAGGGCTGGCTGAGTGGCTCAAGTGGTAGAGCACCTGCCTAGCAAGCTTGAGGCACTGAGTTCAAACTCCAGTACTGCCCCTCCCAAAAAACACCTCCAAATGATAACAAATAAACACATGTACATAATAAGACTTATAACCTAGAGTGATCAAGTACACATGGTGTTCTATGGAGACCTTTCAGTTATTGCAGCAGTTCAGGTGAAGGTAGGAGGTGGGAGTTAGAAGCTGGTTTCTTCCCAGTCCTTTATTTGGCCACTTCCCATGGCTTAGTTAATTCTTTAGACAGAGAACTAATAAAGAGCCCACTGGATATTACATACTCTGTATACATATAGATAACAATTTAAACCACAGAGACCTAATTTCTCTAATATTCCATTTTATCCAACAATATTTCTCAAAGAAGGAATGTGTGTGGAGGGGGAGATGAACTATACTTTAATGGCAAGAATGTATCAAGAGAAAAATAGAAGAACTTGAGAGAAACAAAATTTAAAGACAAAATACTCTTAAATTTAAGTACACAATGAAATAGCCTAGAAAGTTTAATACAAAAAAAAGAAAGAAAGAAAGAAAGGGACATGAACTGCTTAGGATCTCAAAAGCAAAACATTAGCTAAATAACATTAAATGTATATGTTTAATTCAAATACATACAGAAACCAAAACATAGCACAGGTGGATGTCAAGTCACAGAGGCAATGAGAATCATATAGCAAGCATGAGGCCCTGAGTTCAAACCCCAGTACCACACCAAAAAAAAAAAGAGAGAGAGAGAGAGAGAGAGATTCTTGCCACCTGTAATCCTAGCTACTCAGGAGGCAGAGATCAGGAGGATCACAATTTGAGGCCAGCCTAGGCAAATAGTTCATGGACCCTATCTCGAAAATACCCAACACAAAACAGGGCTGGCATAGTGGCTCAAGTGGTCGATGTCTGCGTATCAAGCCTGAGGTCCTGAGTTCAAACATCAGTACCATGAAAAGAAAATATCTATTTACCTTCCATGGCTTTTCTGGAATTGGAGGATCTTCAATTTCAGCATCAACATCATTACTATGGACCCAAGTATCATAGCTATATAGTGAAAAAAGACAAGCAAATTAGAATCTAAGTTCACTCATTAGAAAAGTTTATCAAACAGTAAGAATGTATTTCAGAAAGATTATTAGCATATAGGAATAGCAAGTTTCCAGACACTTTCATCTTTACCACTCTGCCAAGAAAACTGTTCTGCAGAGACCACTAGTAACCTTCATACTGATCAAGACAAAGTTCAACAGAATTCTAAACTAATAATGCCTTTTGCCCAAAAACTCCCATAACATAGCCTTCCAGACATTTACTATTACCTGGTGCTTGTTCCTTCTCGTGAGTAGCCTGTCTTTTCATTCTCCATTACCAGTTTCTATTTTTTACAGCAAGGTTCTTCAATAAGGCAAGGCCCTAGGGCTCAATTTTTCGAACACAATACTTTTCCTGATGACCTCATTCAATCCTATGACTTCAAATATATGCTAAGATCCTGAAATCTTCTGTTTGCCTTCTCTGAATTCTGAACTTAGAAACCTAACAGATGTTTCAAACCTAACACACTCAAAAGCTTACCGTGAACTGCCATCCTGGCCACAACAATGTATTCCAACCTCATCACGGTAAATGACAAGTACATATTCTCAATCATGCAGGTCAAAACCCTAAAAAGCCTGCCTGACTTCACTGTAAAGCACATCCTGTATTATCAAACCACCAGCTAATTTTACCAGTCCATCCTCCAAAGTATATCCAGAGTGCACTTCTAATCCCTCATCCTCAACGCTTTCCCTAATTCTGCCACTGTTCTCCCAGGAGTGAATTTTTTCACACAAACAACCTCTGTGCTTCCAAAGAGAGAAAGGTTAGTTTGGGGTGGGGGGGGAGGGCAGGAGGAAAAAACAATAAAAATAAATGCAATGTTTGAAGCAGATGTTGTGACACCTGCTTGTAATCTCAGCATTTGGGAGGCTGATAAAAAATATGAGTACAGACCAGTCTGGGAAAAAATAACAGCAACAACAACAAAAACACTAGGCAGATAAATTTGTGACAAGAAGAAATGCTGTATATTAAACATGAAATAATTTTATCCATAATTGTTTACTATGCATAGTTTTGAAAAACCAAAACTAACCAGTCATAAATATTAAGGAGAAAATTGACTTTTTGGAAGAAGCAAATCCAAATCACCAGCCTAATACCATACTGAAATACTACTTCGGCAAATGATCAGTTTTTTGAGATAAACAAAAAACATGGATTGGACTAGAGGTGTGGCTCAAGCGGAAGAGCACCACTTTGCAACCTTGAAGCCCTGAGTTCAAACTCCAATCCCACCAAAACACAAACAAACAACTTGTATTATGCTTTGGATATGAAGTGTTTCCCAATCCCTCCTGCCCCAAATATGTTAAGGTCTGGTCCCCAGCTTGCGAATCCAATCACTAAGAAGTGACTGGATCATAGGGGTGCTAACTTCATCTATGCATTAATTCATTCATAAATTCATAATTGAATAGGGTATTAGGAGGTAGGAGCCTAGTAGTAGGAAGCTCATTAGGGGTGTGCCTTCAAAAAGTATCTTGTCTATGGCCCCTTCTGGTCTCTCCCTTTCTCTACTTCTGGGCCACCATGAAGTAAACAACTCCACACCACTACACTCAGTCTGCCACGATGCTTTGCCTTACCACAGGCCCACAGCAATGGTGCCAAGTGACCATAGACTGAAACCATGAGCCAAAATAAATCTTTTCTTCATTAAATTGTTAATGTCTGCCTAACACAGACATTAGTAGCTGACTGTTGCTTTGTTTTCCCTGATCATGTGGTTCAGCCTCTGAGAGGGATTTGGGAAAGTATGGAACTGTAGGATCAGAGAAGCCAAAGAATGATATAATCAGAGATTAATGAGCAATTCTGGCAGGGGCTTTAAAGCCAGAATGCTGATAGGAATGTGGAACACAAAGACTGTGGTCAAGAGAATTCAGAAGGGGAACTAGAACTCTATTGGGAATTGGATGAGAAGCCAGCTATATTTGGTTCTGGAAAAGAATTTATCTCTGTTTTATCCATACGGAAACTCTGCATGAGGCTGAATTTAAAGGTGACAGACTGGGCTGGAGGTGTGGCTCAAGTGGGAATCCCTGAGTTCAAATGGTAGTACTATCCAAAAGGAAAAAAAAAAACAGTGGCACACTAATATGGCAGAGGAAATTCCAACACAGCTCAGCATTCAGTCTGTCCCATGGGTCTTGCTGGCTGCTTTTAGCCAGGTGTTTTTGGGTTTTTTTGCAGTACTGGGGTTTGAACTCCAGGCCTACACCTTGAGCCACTCCATCAGTCCTTCTTTTGTGACAGGTTTTCTCAATATAGGGTCTCTTGAACTAATTGTCTGGGCTGGCTTCCAACCTTGATCCTCCTAATCTCTGCCACCTAGGATTACAGGCATAAGCCACTTGGTGCCCAGCTAGCCAGGTTTATAGTGAAAACAGGAGAAAAAGCAGAGGATAAAGAGACTAAAAACATGCATTTTGGCCACAAAAAGAGAACATTTAAAGTGTGGACAAGGGGGACAGTGAGTATTAAAGACATGAATGCCTTTAAAAAGAAATCAAGCAAACTGCACTGGGATAACACATGAGATTTCTTGAGGGCATCTCAGAAATTGGCCAGACCCACCCAGGGTGTAAAAGCGTAGATTCAGCTGGTCTGTATTCCGAACTACTCAGGAAGTAGAGATCAGGAGCATCATGGTTCAAAGCCAGCCTGGGTTGGTGGAGTGGCTCAAGGTGTAAGTCCTGAGTTTAAACCCCCTACCACAAAAAAAAAAAAAAAAAAAAA